TCATTTAAAAATAAAACATCCTATATCATAAGACGGAAGTATTTCATTCCGACAAGCTCTGCAGGAAACACTTCCTTACAAATACGTTGCTTCCATTATCGAAAGTTGAGCAATCACAACTTCTACAATAATTGTTGAAACGATTCTGGACTTTGTCTGTGTAACCCAAAAACACTGCAATTAGCTCAGCAAGCGTATAATTTTAATCGAGTTTTTCCTTACCAAAATCACGTAGAGGGCATCTAAGAGACTTACTGAGTTCGCACTGCAAAGAGTTTGTTGATAGTGTCAGAACATCATCTCTGACAAAAAAATTACGGCACTTAATAAAAGTATTCCGGTAAAATCCACCTTTAATCTAGGGTAGAAAGAAGATATAGTATATGAAAATTAACTTTCGATTTGATTGTAATTTGAAAACTACTCAACTGAAGGTATTTTTCTATTAACACAATTTACTCGAATCACTCCTTAAAACATATGTTGATTATTAAAAGATTACTATTAGGAGACTCTAAAAATTCCATATACCTCCATGCATACAGGTAAAACTTTTTTATTTATTTCAGGTCGTCCATTCACACTTTCAATTTCCAAACTTTTTTCGTTATAAATCGTTTTTTAGATTCTATCAACTGCGACTTTAAGTCCCATGTGAGTATAATATTTATTTGAAATTAAATAGAATATAAACTTGCAGTATTCTAATCTCCGAGTAAGCATTGCTTCCATAGCAGTTTTTTTTTGTGTTAATACTGACTCACATCAAAAATGGGGCATATATTCAGCCTTTCAAATTAAGGTCAGAATGTCTCTTCTATAAGTACTCATATCAAAAGGTAATAGGTGCATCCGATCATATAATTTCTTCCTGCTTTAAATCGAAAACAAATGATATTAGTAGTTTCATTGATTTGCTGGCAAAGATGATCAACTGTTAACTTGGACGGCTCCTTTTGTTTAGATCCTATACAACTTACACTTTTACCCTATCCGGTCACCTCTTCCCAATCGTAAATCTACTAAGGAAGGTTGCCTCTTTGTGGTGATACGGACTGAATATTCATTTATTTCTACATATTTTTCTTATTTCGTTCCAGAGATTTTTGGCACACTTTTGCTCCGAATGATCTTTGATCTCTACCTTACGTGCATCGGGTCATCTAACCCAATTGAAAAGATAATCATTTATACTTGGTCTACACTTTATACTTTCCGAATATCTTTGGCATTTCCATTTTCTTCGCCTACTAAATAAAGACCAACGAGTTTTAAAAAAACAATCGCAAAACGTGATTGCGACACTTCTGACGTGGGTGGCGGCTTCGGGTTTGTTAAAAAGCGTCCAAAGTTATATGAAATAAAAAAAGAATTCATTGCAAAAATTAGAAAAAGAGAATTTGGCATTAAATAAACAAATTTATATATTTTTTTTATTTAGTATCACTTATTCGTTTATTTTTTTTCCAATCCTCATGTAAAGTCTTGTTACACCACTGCAGTTGAATAATCGAAATGGTAAATGGATTTTCATTTCAACTACTCTGAACCACAGCGAAAACTACAAAAGGTTATGCTTGATTGTGCTGCTCTAGATTTGTTTGAAGTGCTTTGAGTGATTTTGTAATAATATTAACAAATTAAAAATATTTACAATTTATTTAGTGGATTTATTTCGCTCTTATTGCAAGTGTAAAGTCGTAACTCTAAACTCCACCAACGCCCCATCAATAAACAAATCCGCACTTGAGGCTTTCAAAGAAAAAAAGAGCCGCGGTTCATGTGAATTCATAAAGATTTTGAATGTTTGGCGTTTGTCTGGTTGTTCATCGAGTATCTTAAGTTGAATGCAGTTCAAACAATTTAAATGCATTTCGAATTTTTGCTGCATTGTTCACGGTTCAACTTAGAACGCCCGAACGCTGGAACCGCTGAACGCCTTAACTTTGCGCCTCTGACAGCGGCGGCGTATGAGCGACAATTTGAACTCTGCGTTATTTTTCATAGCGCATTAATCATGCACCATTCAAACTAAAGCTAACTAAACCGTTAACGATAACGAAGTTTTTAAAAAAATATTAGCTCATAAAAACTTTACTGATTTTACTGCTGTTTAGCATAAATAGATTAGCATTTCTGTTTAATGACACTCGCATTCGGCATAAATTTTATTTTATTACGCCAATAAAAATGTCAATTCAAGCATTTAACCACAAATAAATGTTCCGGATTACTGTCAGTTAGTTTTCGGACACGCTGAACATGCGCCATTCAAATGATGCTATAAATAGTTTTGGGCTTATAAGAGAAAAACTCTACAGAAGGGAAAGGTGTAAACATTATCGATCATTTGTATTCAAAAACTCAAAAGGAACGACCTTTTGCCAAGACTTTATTTTATTCGATTTGATTGTGAAATGACTGAAACTACAAAGATCAATTTGCATTGTTGAATTATGATCCTTGTAAGCCTTAGGGGCTTGATATATCATTAAAAAAAACACTTCTTGAGTTTCAAATTCTTTTAATCAGTCACTGCTAATCTGAACATTTCTATAACTCAATACTGAGTCCAACGAAGATCTAAACATTTGACAATTACATGCGGCATTTCAAAGAGGAATACCGAGTGTCTTTGAGTGTCAGCATTCATCCGATATAGATATATTTACTTAGATACATATTTATTTTATAGTAACATAAGCGCCTAATCTAACCCTAGCAATGATATATTAGATATATAAACTGAAACTGAATTGGTGTATAAACTCAAAATACTACACAGATAACTAGATAAATACAAAGATTTTACTGCAGTCAGACTTGATCATCCTTAAGCATAAGATTAACCAGTTACTACTGGGAATTTGGTAGTTTTATATCTCTTCGTACGCATAATTAAAAATTAAAAAATTTTGTAATAAATAAGTTGATGAGTAGGCGAAGTGTATATATGACGATCCTTTTCAATTAGCTAAGAATCCTTTTTGACTCCACACTATATGTATTATATACACTATAATATATATATATATATATATATGATTTATCATAAAATTAACGGAGATATTAATAAGTGCACGTATATGACTGATTTCAAGATTCAAGGTGCTGTGAAATGAATTAAAGAAATGTGCGTTCATGCGGTTAAAACTGATTAAAGATCAATTTCGACACTAGTTCCACCAGTGAAATCATAACCTAATAGGATATAGGAAGCCCATTCCAACTTATTATTATTCTATCATGCAGTTTCTCAAGAGAGCCAACATTATCTTAAAAGTTACTTTCTTATTTTTATGGATTATGACTACAGTATCACATTTAAAGTATGTAGACTAGGTATGTCCTCTTGAAATGGGTGCTGAGGTGATATTTGAACAGTTCCTTTCGTTCTTTTGCAAAAAAGTAATTGTAAAGTGACAGTTGTTTATAAAATACAGCAACAAGAACTATTAACAAAGATTATATCGACTAGATCCTCAATTTTCTCGTTCTTAATTTTAAATACTCCATCAGGAACCCAAAATAGGATAACATATACGTTTTCAACTAATGAGCTAATAATTAGTCTGACCTCTTGAACTATATAAACCATGCAATACCTTTAATAACAATCTCATTTTTTATGAAACCATCCACCTCTTATCATAATGGTTGCAGTCATAAGCGAAATAGCAGACTCCCGATATGTCAAACATTTTCGATTGAACTATTGAGGTGTAGTTATGGAAATGATAAGATTTTTATATATATTTATATAGGATTTGAAAAGTACCAAGTAGATTTTGGATCGTGTACAGTAAATAATTTTGAAATCGTCAGTGTCAATTCTGTTTGTTAGTTTATGAATAACAAAATTGTTATCAAAACTTAAATGTGGGTCTACATTTTATTACATATTATAATGAATACCAGAAAATGTAGACAAAGCGCCTGTGCCTTATATAATTAAGTTTCTATAGACTGAGAAAGGCATTTTGTTTAATGAATAGCTCCATAGAGAGTAAGTGAAGCATTATATTGGGTATATAATTGAAGTACAATAAGTATAAAAAGTAGGCATGCTGATGTTTTGCAGTTCAGTTAGCCTATAAATTATTTTTGTTTATTTATTCTTGGTCAGCCTACTTTTATTTGACAGAGATAGTCAAACTCTGGGCATTACTAAACGATCACGTTGTTTTGGTACGTTTTTTGTTGTTTTGGTACGTTTTTTGGACCAAATAAGTGACCGCACATGTGCCACTAGAAATCTTACTTTAATGTTAAGTTTTGAATCTAGAATAACTCCTCAATACTTTACTAAGGAGTTTAGCATACTGAAATTCGCATACTTCGTCCGCGTGAAACTCCAGAAATAAACAAGCAGTCAGAGCTGAACTGTACTACAAGATTTTAATAAAAGTTGTGTGAAAAAAGAAGACAATTGAAGAGAAAAAAAAAATTTTTTTTCAAAATTTTAAAAATTATTTAGATGAAAATACCTGGATATATTTCTCATACATATTTTATTAAGTTTTGAAAGTACTATCTGACATATACTTTATATATTATATTTATATAAACAAATATTAGTCCGTTTGTTCAAATTGAAGTTACCACGCCGATTAACGAATAAGAAATAAAAGAAAAATGAAAAAGACATGAAATTACCTTCGTCAAATATATTTTCCCTGCTCTTCTTCTTCAAAAAAAACTATCGGAATGTTGTTATGCTACATGCTAGGGTTTCCAACATTTACTGAATAATTAAATAAAATATTTTTTTGTACAAACAAAAACATTGATGTTTTTATTTATTTTGCATTTGTTCAATTTTACAATTGTTGCATTTTCTTAAAATTATTGTACAGAGATGTTACAATAAGTTGGGGTTGATAGGAGGGAAGGAAGATAGAAATACATATAGTGATATATAAGTAAGAGTTTTATAAAATGTTCTCAAAATACTCAATAATTTCATTCGATTTCGATTCCAATTTTTTAGCTGTTCTTACTGTTGTTGTTGTTGATGTTGTTGTCGTTGTCGTAGTAATTGTTGTTGGAGATTGAGTAATAGTTCTTTTACTAAAAATACGATTAAAGAAAATGAGAGATTATTAATACAACAGTGGTGGGTTGTTGCTAAAGTGAACAGGATTGAAGTGTGAAGTGTGTGACGGTACGTATTCATCTTCATTTGGCATTGCTGTCGTCAAAGTGAATTTTAATTATTTTTAAATTGTGAATTTAATGAGTGCCAGGAGCTGGGGCTACATTGACTGAAGTAGCTGAGCTAATGTGACCAGCCAATGGAGCAGTGTGGATAGCACCACGAGTCTTAGCTACATAGACACCCTCATGACCATGACCGGTAGCTAGAGCCAATGGAGCTGCAGCAGCAATACTACCATGTGCTGGACCTTGAGCTAAAGAAATGCCGGGTACACCCCAACCATGTCCGCTTGCACCCCACGCTGTACCAGCGTGCACGGCAACAGCAGCTGGTGCATGAGCCAAACCAAGTCCAGTACCCCATGCTCCACCATGTCCCCATGCACCATCCCAGGCACCACCCCACGCACCATGCAAAGCTGGTGTAACATAAGAAACACCTGGAGCAACTTGTGCCAACAATGATGATTGCACACCAGCGGCAAGAGCCAACATGACTACGGCAACAACGAACTGAAAGATGAAAAAGGAAAAATGATGAAGATGTATATATGTGAAACATTAGATCAAACTAAATTCTAAACACTCACCTTCATGTTGATATGTTCTAGGTTTGAAGAAGAAATGTGAAGAAGAAGAAAAGGATCTCTAAGTTGCTGTTCCAAGCTGTGTTCAACGAACGCTTTTGGTTTTGATTCTGATTTGGACATCGAAATTATGCCAACTTTTATACTAAAAAATTGTCTGAACTTTACACAACGCAAATGCTTAACATTAATATTAAAGCAAACAGTAACAACAATAACAATTACAGCCACAGCTACAACAACAACTGCTAACATAACAGTATTACAAGCAATTAACAATGCCAATAGCAACTGCAATAATATCAGTAGTAGCAACAACAACAACAACAACAATAATAAACAATTCAAAACCGAAACTTGTCTAAAAATTTACACACAAAAAATATTAGAAAAATCAAACAAAAACAAGGTAAATACAGCCGAACATATACACACTCACACACACATTCCCATACACAAAAAAAAATGCTCGCAATCTAATAAAAGCACAAAGAATTGGAGTATTTCGTGGAGTATTTACTGCACTAATCCGAATTATAAGCAAGGCCCGAAAGCCCGAAAGCCCGATTGAGTGTGTTTCGTTAATCGCACGATTGACCAAATGCCTAACAGATTGGCTGTCGGGCAGAGGTGCACAGGCGAAAAATAGTAAACGAAAACAATACAATTGCATTTACTAAATGTTTTCATTGAAAAGTGTTGTTGTTGTTGTTATAATGGGGATAGAACAGATGTACGACATTCTTGCATTTCTTCCCGCTTGCCTCTTGCCTCTTGTCTTGAAAATGCTTGAGCTTGACGCTTGTCAAAGTGCCGTTTCACATATTAATTTTCTTTTGGGAGTGAATTGGAAAACGAGAATAGGTGTTGTTGCAATCGCTGAAAAGAGAGGTGGAGGAGTTTAGTGAAAAGAACGCTTAATTCTTTGTTTGTTTAGTTTTTGCTATTGTGCTTTTAATTGCACATAATTTCGCTATTAATGGGAATTTTTTATTCGCCGCAATTAGCCACGAACAGGTGTTAACTTCTTGAACTTGCAAGGTAACTTACCGTGATAAATTATGAATTAAATGGGCTAAGTTCACTTTTTTATGAAAGGCAACTAATATTATTTCAATCAAAACTCATATTTTATGACACTCGGGCTGTCTGAATGATAACTTACGAAGTTAATTGCTGGGTGGTGCCGCATATCTACCAAAGCGTAAGCCACTGCTAGCTTAACTGAGCTGTTGCTAATGCCTGACTATAAATAGTTAAACTTTACAGTTAAGAAGACACGCCTATTATTAAGTTTCAATCAAAATCTTTTAAAAAAATGCGCTAAAATCCTAGAAAAACTCAACTTGGGGTGTGTAGCAGTTGTTAATCAATTATTCGGAAGGAATATAATATTATTTACTTGAATGATGGAATTGTGATGAAAAATTTTATTATAGATCTATGTTGCAATAGTCAATAGTAACAATCCTTTTCTAGCACTTAAAGACAAGACATCGGGGCTGAACAGTGTTCGAGCTTGTTCAGAACCAGACATAAGCTATTGGGCGCCCCATTTTGTAACACACTTTGTGATACTTTCAATTTCGATTGATTATATTTTCAATTGATTAGATACTTGCATTTAACAAAAAGGCCGGTTGGTTATAATATGCTCATCCTTTTACCCACAACTACGACGATTGTGAAATTTTAAAACAAAAATACATTTCAACTGCTTTATTTTGTTATGAAAATATAAAAAATATATACGATATATTAATATGGAATGCATAAATAACATCTGAATCAATATTAACATGTCTCCAACTGAAGAATGTTATACGATTTGGAAGCATCACAATATCCAGACAGAATTCTGTAGCTCTCATGAGAGGCAATGCATTATTGCATATGCATTGCATTGTATAAATATATATTATTTATATTATATTAATAATATGTAATTTGTTTTCAACAGAATCACTTGAAAATAAATAAACTAAACTAGCTAACTTCGTCAAACAAAGAGATGTAAGATGCAGTAAAAATAGGTTAAAGGCCGTCGTCGTTGGCTTAAGCTTTTTGATATCACATTTTATTGTAAAAAAGCGATTTGAATTGCAGAGTGTCGAATGAAACACCTAAATATTTATTAGAAATAGAAACATAGTAAAATAGAAATAAAAAATAGAAACAGGAACAGGATACTCACACTGCGACAAATCCTGGAAAAAACGCACGAACATAACATCGACACTTACCACCTTTTTGTCAATAATAAACAAGCTTTTGATAGCCCTATAAGGAATCGTGTTTACGCCGCAATGTCTGAGCTCGGTATCCATGCAAATTTAATTTGACTTTGCAGAACGACGTTGAGAAATACCCGTAGCTTCATCAAGGTAGGATCGAGTCTCTCTGAACCTTTTGATACCGTCCGAGGCTTCAGACAAGGTGATAATGTGATCTTTTCAATTTCGTCATGGAAGTGATCATGCGCAGGGCAGGTGTTCATCGTAATGCAACAATAATACAGTTCCTTGCTTACACCGATGACATTGATATCATGGGACGTAGCAAGAGTGATGTCACACTGCTTGTGCTGCTATTGAAAAGGAATCTGCAAGAATAGATTTAGCAGTGAATGAGGACAAAACGAAGTATATGTCGGCTACTGGTAGAAATGTGCGTCGCTCGGACACCGAGCTAGTGGTTGGCCACTATACTTTCGAATCTGTCAAGAATTTCATCTACCTTGGCACCGCCGTAATGAACACCAATGATGTCGACCTAGAGATCAGACGAAGAATCACCATTGCTAATAGGTGCTACTATGGACTCAGTAAGCAATTCCTCGACAAACAAAATTTCCGCTCAATAGATCGCTCTGCGCTTTTGTGTGGCGCAAAAGCATGGACGTTGTCACAGAAAGATGAAGCAACGCTGGGAGTGTTCGAGAGAAAAGTTCTTCGTAAGATCTTTGGTTCTCTACGAGCTGGCGACGGCTACCGCTTACGAACGAATCACAGGCTGTACGAGCTTTATAACTTGACTTGATGGACTTGATGTACGAGACTGGGGAAGGCGCGCACGCAACAGTGACGCCTGGGGAGACATGCTGCGTCAGGCCAAAACTCGATAATGGGTTGTTATGGTCAAATAAGTAAGTAAGTAAATAAGCTATGATACTATTTAGTATTATATAACAGTATACAGCTTTAGAGAACCTTTATATTGTATCTAGTACCTAGATCCCGTTCAGATAGTTCCACAAATCTCACTATGTAAATCGTATTTCTATAAAAGAAGTAGAACCTATAGTTTATTAATTTTGTTGTTTTTTTATAGTCGTATTTCAATAAGAAAATAGTGACATTTTCAATTATTCAAATTATTTTTTTAAAGTTGACATGTAAAAAGCTTGGCTTTAGATATAGCTGAAACGAAATTTCGTAAACAGTTACTGAAAACTCTCCACCAAAAATTTTTAAGAATTGATATTATATCTCATTTATCAGAAAACACTACACATTTGCCTCATCAGACTTTAATGAGATATTCTGTGATTTTATCAAATAGAGATAACTCACAAATCGAGTTATCTTGATATTTAATTAAATCCATAAATCGAATATTTCTTATTACAAATGAAATTTTTACAGTACCAATGGCAGAATAGAACCATAACGAAAAGTATATGCAAGTCAGACGATTCTGTAGCTCCAAACCTTATCTTTCAATACTTCACAATTTAAATATATTAAAATAATACATTCCCTAGAGTTGGAACAACGCTTTTATAATACAAAACTTTAAAAGCGCTTCAAAGAACACTGAAGTGCTATATAGGGACACAAAAAATTATTTTACAAACTGCTCTTATCTAAGTTGAAGCACTCAGATTTATTCTTTGACAATGACCAGATTAGATCCAAAACTAAAAATATTTTAAGTACTTAGAGTAGTAAGCTGTGCTTATGTGGTATGACAGTCCCTTTTAAACAAGTAAAATAATAATATTAAAGTCTCAACTTATTAAGCGTTCTACTTAATACTTTTAAAGTGTAAAAATGTATTAATCTGCTTCAAAATAGAGCGTTGAATTTTGAATCTATTTAAATAAATTTAAATTTATGTGTTTGGGAGATTATATAGTTTGAAACGATAATAAATTATATTTAGAAAAATGGTATTTGGAACTAATTTCTTTTAATCTCCTTCTAAAGTTAATACCAAAATTATCAGAGCGTTCAAGTTTATAATTTCGTAGTTAGTACAAGAATCCATAGGTACAAATATATATTTTTGACTCTCGGTACAATCGTATATAGCTTTGTAAATAACAAACTCGAAGCTATAATATTAGCCATTTATCCAAGTTATAAACAATGATATTATATTAAACATTACCTCATATCACATACTGACGCATATACTTTGTACTAACGACTGTTAGTACTCAATTCAGAGAGAGTTTTGAAAATCATATTAACATACACATATAAATACGAATTAAAAACCAATCAACGTAATGTTTTTGAGAACTTAAAAATAATTCTCATAGTCTGTGCTTTAGTAGAGTATATCTAGTGTATACTATAAACGGCGCTTTCATTGAAATATAGGCTACATCTTCAAGCAAGGAAAGTTAAAAACTAAAACGGCATGGACGGATACTTTGAGTATTTGTTATTGAATCTACTATCAAAAACCTTAGAGTTGTGTTCAAATTTGGCTAATAATAGTAATCAGCCTTAGGTCAATTAGCTTAAGTAAATCTATAGGATCCACTTTATAACCGAACCAATACATTTGTAAGGTGTCAAATAAATGTCACCTTCATTGTATGGAGAAAATATAAATGTTGCTTGAAATAAGAATCTTGAATCTAACAACTTACAAAGACCTCGATATCCTCGATATCCTCTGTCCTCTCCACTAGTGGAATACTTTCATTTTGTAAAATTGATTTTGTTTATTAACATATATATATATATATACCCATATATACATATGGAATTTACTATTTATGATAATAGTATATAAATTGATAGGAAGTACATAAACGCTTATATCCATATATATATATATCCATATATATATATGTAATTTACTATTTATGAACTTTAAAATAATTGCTTGATTAAGACAACAACTGCAGCAGATTCTATATCAAATTAGTATTATGTTGTCGTCATTAAGGAAAGCTTATAATCGCTTATTTACAGCACTGAGCATACTTGTTATACTAATGTCTTTAGAACAGTCAATGTGATATATATGCGAAGACTACATGTCAGGAATCCTCGAGTCTGTATATTGAGTGCGAGTACTGGAAGTCTCGCTATGGAGTACGTGTCAATCCTTCCATTCATTTATATTGTAAATAGTTTATTTAATTGAATGCTTGCTCAAAATAGTCTACATCAAATAAGAGCGCCAAATTTGTTTCCCATAGCACTGTCGAATCCATTAAAAAGTTTTTTAATGAAAATTGAACAAAATTACGGAGCAGTTGACTATATCTTGAGTTAACATTTCATTTGTTTTACCCGTCCTATATAATATGTAAGTGATGAATATAGATCAATACTTGTCCCTTATTCAAACAATCGAAAGAAAAACAAACTGATTTTATATTTTTATAATATATATATTCTTATTTTACCATTTGCAAAACAAAATTTTAAGTAGGAGTGATAGAAAGAAAAAGGAAGAGCGTTGTAGAAAAATAGAGATAGTAACAGTTAAAGAGATAGCAATATTGCATTTTGAGAAAAACGATTTCTTAAAATTTTTTCGAAAATGGTAAAGATATTTTTTTTTAAATATTTCTTGTTGTTGTTGTTGTTGCTGTGTTACGAAGTACCAGGAAGTATGTCGTATAACATGTTGAATGAGATAGCATAACCACTGTTTGGGTTGTTGCCGTTTTCGTAGGGATGAGAAGTGAGGTGTGCTATAATACGTATTCATCTGCATTTGTCAGCGGTGAGTGTCGTCAAATAATATTAAAATTGAATGTATTTAATGCGTGCCTGGAGCTGGAGCAACATTTATGGCTGAAACTGAGCTGATATGACTAGCCAATGGGGCAGCATGTACAGCACCACGGGTTTTGGCAACGTATACACCGTCATGACCATGACCATGCGCCACAGCAACAGCTGGAGCAGCTATGACAGCAGCACCATGTGCTGGACCTTGAGCCAATCCAATTCCGGGAACACCACCCCAATGACCAAGACCGCTAGCACCCCACGCTACAGCAGCTGGTGCAGCATGTACGGCAACGGCGGCGGGACCACTGTGACCACTCCAACCAGCGCCAGAATGACCCCAAGCACCATCCCATGCACCACCCCATGCACCGTCCCAGGCTCCATCCCAACCTGATGAGCGAGCGCCAACAGCGAGAGTCAACATAACTGCAGCAATGACCAACTGAAAATATTGAAAAATAAAGTTTACTTCATAGAGTCTCAATGTAGTTGTAGAAGATATCGTTCTACTTACTTTCATTGTGTTTTGTGTTTTAAGATAAGGATTAAAAGTTAAAAAATATTTATTGAACTGTTCAGTAGTGTTCAACGAACGCTCTTGAGTTTCTTTCTGATTTCGACAATGCAATATTGGCAACTTTTATACTAAAAACTTTTAATCTCTCACACCAACAATTATAACGAAGCGAACCTCGAGTGCTCACCATTAAACCAGAGCAACAATGTAAATCGGCACAAAATGGAGCACAACTCAAAGTACGAAAACAACAATGGCACCGGCGGATAAAAGTGTTAATGATATTCTAATTATAATTGGGTTCAGCGCGTTGTTTACACCGCCTGCGAGTAACCTTTCACTTACCATAGCTTATGAATAGCGTATGTACGGTTAACTTCTCCCTGCTGCAACATTGTAGTTCTCGAGAATGCAATTGATTTGCTGCTATGAATTACTTGAGCTTGAGCTCAGGTTTACTAGCGGGCGTGCAGCTCAAATCGTTAGCATAAAGAATTTGGACGATTTGTGCCAAAATAAAATTTAAAAAAATTTATTTGAAAAAAGTTAAAAAGCATTAAAAAATGTTATAATTTAAATACGATTTTTAAGGATAAAATATAGCAAACTCCGGTCAGTAAAAATGACTCATCATAAATGCTCTCATCCAGGATTCTGATACATGTCTTAAAATACTATAACATTTTTCTTATGTTACGTTATGTTCGCAAAATAACTCCTGAGCGTTATTAGACCTATAAAATTTTAACTGTAATATTTTTTTTACTCTGAGAAGTTTTTAGTTTATTGGAAAATCAAGACTGAACAAAATGAGTTGACTTTATGCATGTTTCCGTAGAGTGGAAAATGAAAAGGACAGGGATACACCTCTACTTCATTTTATTACACATAGTGAAAGAGACAGGCAGAGAAAGAGACAGGTAAAGCTAGAAAGACAGGCAGAGATAAAGAAACCGACAGAGAAAAAACAAAGAAAGCAAAGAAAATGGGTAATTTGAACTAACAATCTTAAAGAAACAACCAACATTCGTTTACTTATATTTGACACATATTTTGGGAAAAGTTAATATATCTAATTCTCCATCCTTGTCAGGAAAGCGCTATAAAAGGTTAATTGATTATTTACTTGGTTATCTTCAATTTGGGTATTAAAGAAAATTAAAGCTGATCTTGCATTAGAGAAGATTTTTAATACATTTTTTCTTGTTTTATGATATTAAATCATCCTGAACTCTGATTGTAATTTTAATATTGTACTCTTTTAAAAGTTAGTGAATCCAACGTGTTCTTATTGCTTTTATAATAATATTATAATGCAATGTAATACAATGCGATGATTATTATTATTATTAAAAAAAAGAATGATGCATTCGACATATGGGATCTATTGTGATATCCCCGGATCTTTTAACTTATGTTGGACTAATGATGAACTTAAAACATGTCTGCATTGAAGTTGCTTAACCTTTCTTCGGGCAGTAAAAACGCTTGAAGATAGTTAACCAGTTCCATAGTAATCCCACTAATATCCAAGAAGATAAGTTATGTGGTCATTTAATTACAAATTTCGCAGAATTTACTGCGTTAGAGTCGTTTGATCTTATTAATTGTAGTTAAATAATGACAGAAATCAAGTTTGAACAATTAAGTAATATGTGGAATCCAGTAATTTGTGAATAAAAGAAATTCAAAACTACGAAAATATGCAATATATCAGTAAAGTACTCTGTCTAGAACTCATTTTATTTAAGAACTATAAAAATACGTAAGCAAAAAAGACGTAAAATCAAGGTCACGAAACGCAAATGACAGTGGATTGGTCATACGCATTGATATCACCTTCCCATGGTTTCATCTGAAACCCCCAAGGTAGTCTACACCCAGCATATATGGAATGATATATGCACAACAGCATCAAACAGAATAATATTTAGGAAAGGCTCTTTGCGAAGGCTTTCTGCTCCACTACAAATGTGACAATAGCTTTACAACCAATCCTATTAAGTTAACTAAGCTAAACTATAGAAGTATTTTTCTTTCTCAATTAATTACTGCACTAAAGAATAGTTTGAAATCTCATTCAATCCGCAAAGCGATAATACTATTGAAACAAGCTTGGAATGCGGTACCACAAAGAGTTATAAAGAAAACTTGGTCAAAGTTTTTCAACTGAGATTCTAATCAGTATGAGAGCGATGATGATGTGCAGCTAGCACAATTGCTGCAAGTAGATCAGGAATGCAATGAAGTTATTCCGAGAACTCAAGTTCTTTTAGCAGTAATAGATCTGAACAATAGCATCTGCATAGTAGATACTAAAAGAAGGGATGAAGATGTGTTTGATAACGGATCTGCATACCTGAACCCAGTAGTCATGTAGAGTCTTCAGACAGAGGCGAATGCGATGTCGACAGCCATTCAGAACGTTAATAATTGAATAAAATTAATGATCTATCAGTAAATCAAACACACCCACAAATTTAATATTCTTGCACTTGCTTTTTTTAAAAATTGCTATATCAAAGAAGTAGGATAGAACTTGAACTCATGTTGAATATTTAGAGTAAAAGGTAGGCTTTTCCTGACAACTTTCAGATTTGAAGATGTTGTGTTACCTCGCTCTCTATGTAAAAAATGACGTTTGATAGCTGAAAGGGTGACTATGTGTGGATGTGCCATTTATAGAGTGCCTCTATAATAAGATATATTTGGATTTTCCATACTACACACAGTCTATACATTTTATTACTCTTTACTTCGATGGAAGAATACAATACTAGTATGTAAAAACATTGGAACTATTTTTGATGGTGCACTTTATCTTATTGCAGGAATTTGATAATTAAAGCTATTTCTCCCTCTGTTAGACCAATTGTCTTACGATTCCTCGATAAGGTTCAAGAAATCTGACTAATGATGGTGCTATCATTTTGAATCATTTACCTACATAAAGTTCATTAGAAAAATAAGCTCGATATGAAAGATGAATCTAATTTTTATCTGTGAATCAGTATGGAAAAGGAATAAAATTAGTCCATTTGTGAAATCTCTGATACAAGCGACGAAAAGTCGATTACTTGTAATGCTGCTATATGAATATAGTGTTAGTTAATAGGATGAAGCGCAAAAAACTGTGAAAGACCTGAATTGTTAGTGATGCTGTGTTTGGTGTGATTTCAAGTTATCAATTATGATTCGACTCCCCATTCCCAGCATTTATTTATTGGCATTTATTGAAAGTAAGAATTTCAAAGTACTTCAATTTAGATACAAAGTCAGAACTTACGAAGAGATTAAGTATTGTTTCATCCTAACAATGCAATCAAAATGAGATCAAAATCTCAATAATGTGTGTTTCATTTACAGTTAGTTCTGAAATCACAAAACAAATTACCCTGTATATCTCTTATTCCGACTTGTCATGGTTAATTTTAATCGTTCCACAATTTTAGCAAGACTTTAGTTGAACTTATGTCAGAAATGATTTAAGGACAACCTATCCATAATAATATTTAATTGCTTTCAGTCACTTAAATCGAAAAGTTAGATTAAATAGATAGTAAACTCGTAATAGCCTAACAGCAGCTTAATGATAATTGCGGTTTTAAGTGGCAAGAAAGCTAAAGTTGAATTAATCTTAATATGAATGAAATAATTGATCTTAACGGAAAGTCAATTTGAAGTGTAAATATTGTAGTAATAATTGGTTGGATTAAAATGAATTTGAATTACAACAAATTAACATATCAAAGCTTAATATGGTAAAATGCGGAGTAAGTTAGTAACTGAACATGTGTTCAGAAGAAATACGATCAATTTCTGTGATAGTAAAAGCTGTTGTTATTTATTACAATTACAATTATCGTACCAATAACTCACTTGACCCCACCAAGCCTCACCTGTTATTGTTGTATTTAGTTAGGCTGGAGTTAAAATCACAGCTAAAATGATATATTGTTATATTGGATCAGAGATCATGTGGACATTTCTGGCAGCTGAAGGCTGGACTCTTGTGTTTCTGAACGTAAACGCTGCATAGAATAACAGCGTTTAGTTTATCTGCGAATGACTGGGTATGGGAATGGATATCTGCTCTACCAAAAGCAATGTCCCTTCATGTTGGAAGAGTGCTGGTGAACATTTTGTTAAGCTATGTCTCTAAGGTTGGTACTTGTTGGTGCCACAACTGCAGCAGCAACACTTGCTAGTGTCATATTTGATTTGGAACCGGTCGCAAGATCATTGCCAACATCTCGTATATTAAATGATATTAAATGATTCCATAGTCACAGCATAAAGTTAACTCAATTTACAAAAATTCATAACAAAAATGAAAAATATTAATTCAGTTTCAGTTAATAAAATTTGAAATATGATCTCTGCGGAACGTGCAAAGGCGTGTCTATCGTGGGCAAATCCAAGATACCACTTTTTGCGATTTACCTCACATGAATGCTGAAGTTATTAAAATACAAAAATAACACAAAAAATTCAATAAAAACTAAATTCTATTTAAAATGATTAAAACATATTTGAAATAGTTACAGTTCGAGCTCGAGCTTGAGCTTGAGCTGGAGCTCTAGTTCTAGTGTTAGTTTCAGTTCTAATTCCAGTACGAGTTCTCTTGAAGTTCAGCAAGTACAAGTATGTGATCAGTTTAAGGATGAATTTTTAATTTGAAATTTTAATTCACTTTCGTACTTTGTTTTGTTGTTGTTTTTGTGGTCAAATACATTATATGAAATAAAACTGCCATAAACGTTTAAACTTCAATTATTTTTATTTGAAAATTTCATATTTAACTTAATTGTTGGTATTGATCAAGGCAATCTGCTAGCGCTGCTTTGGCACCAATCCATTGGACTGGCTGCATTGTGCCATGGGTGCTGCACCAGTTGTGCCATATGCCATTCAGCAGTAAATAATTGAAATTGATAAATAATTATAAATAGACGTGTACTTGTATATTATATGCATTATATGCACATTGTATGTAAGAATTGTACATATGTATGTAAGAACGTGTATTAATCTTATGACATGTTCACACCGGTAGCAACGTAATACTTTGCTTAGCTTTGGGGTCTTGTTTTCAAATTGTCAACGCCC